TATTTTGTGCCCAGATATATAAACAACTATACGATTCACATACCAATAAGTGACTTTGGACAGTGGAGTAGCACGCCTTTCACAGACACTTTATGGTAATTATTCCAGAATGACGGTCTTTGCGAAACTGGGCGTATGGTATTCAGATTGCATGACAAGAATTGTATTCAAATTAATGTCTTTCAGTTATTACTAATAAATAATATACGGTCTCAGTCCTACGAGCACAAACAGACTATATGTATAGGTCAGAAAACCGGCGGAAATTAAACATATAGAGGCACAGCCGACTACTGACAAACAGCAGTTTTTGTAAAATCAATTTGGATTTAATGATTAAGATTAAGACGTTAAGATTACTGTATGTAGGACTTTTTCTTTTCATGAAAGCCGTTGGAATAAATCTTCTAGGCAAAATGAAAGTTGATATATCTTAAATACTATTACCAATGTATTATGAATGGCGGCCATTTTGAAATTCAAAATGGCCGCTCTCAAGGCGGTTGGAAAAAATGGCAACAATTGTTTTGGAATTCCCTGATATAAAATGAGTATTTCCTGAAAATTACTAAGATTATACCCAAAAATGCATATGGGTTCCACAACCTCACAGACTAATTCACCATTAAATACAAATTGATAATCGGACAGTAGTATGGCATAGCAGTTGGTTCTAGGTCCATGCCCTGAAATTGACCTCATTGGACGCCGATATTTACACTCCGACCAAACCATTTTCTCGTCTTGGATGTTTTTTTTTCATTTTCTGTTATTTTTTTCCATGATTGGATAGAAAAAAAATTGAACTACAAATACTCCATGATTTTTTTGACTTCATTAAAAAATAAAATCGTTTTTATAGGATGGAAACATTTTGAGGTCAAATCCCCCCACCCCACCCCACCCCCAACCTCAAGCAAATAAGTTTTTTTATCTGACATCGATCTTTTGACGTTCTCCCTTAAGCAATGTAGACTTTGAATCCAGCGAGTTCACAACTCGGTAAGACCTTAAATTATTTTGGTCGAGTTGCTGTTATTTAATAATTCCTGTGTTAACATAGAAGCAATTTTTTTTAATTACTAAGTATGTAAATAAATAAATAGGAATAAAGCTAAAACACGTCAGAGATTAAGGAAAAAAATAAGAAACAATTTGGTCAATTTGAATTCTACCAGTCATAAGATTTTTAGAAAATTATATTTTTAAAACGTTTCGAACCTCCCCAACCTTATGCTTGTTACTGTTTAGACGATTGTTATAAGTTCTATTTAAATTTTCAACATTGTTTAACTCGTCTAAGTGGAATCTCACTGTTTGATTTATGAAACTGTTCACGAAATGGCTATTGCGTTCGGTTTTCGCCAAGATATTACTAGTATGTTATATGTCTAAACAAAAATGATAAATCCGCAAATGATTCAAGTTTTTGGAGGTGTAAAATTAAAATATTTCAGAAATTTTAAATTGAAATAAAACATTTTCATTTACGTTTACTGCGGGTCTTTCATC